GAAATGAAAAGACCATGCAGTACCTTTTACATACATACTAGGAGAGGGGATTAGCTGCCAAACAGCTAGTAAAGGACAGAGGATATGAGAAGGAGGATGGCCAGTTTGTGAGGGCACTAGATGCTGCTCTAGCCTCATTTCATGTTGAGCGCCAGGCATTCTACTCTGGTACATTTAGAGGCAATCATGTGCATCGAAGGCTAAAGGTACACAAATTGGACACATATAGAACACATGGAGCTCACAATAAATCTTTTACTTCCTGTAGCCACAAAATATCAACACTTTGTGTCACTCGGTGATGGCTACCGCAGAGGCTCATTGTCCCTCCCTCATCAGTGAAGCAGAGGTCATCAGCAGAGTATTCACCCAAGCCTTCACTCTGTACTCAGCATGTCACCATGGCTGCAATGGGAATTATAAGATGACAGATGAAGAAATTGATTCCCTGAGTATGTATATATAGCATTCACATTATTGTATATAATACTTTCAACATACTTGCAGGTGTAAGCATCAAGAACTTCATGGCCTTTTACCGGGCAAACTTCACTGAGTCTACAGTGACACCAAAACTCCACATGTTAGAGGAGCATGTGATCCCTTGGCTGCGACAGTGGAGGATAGGGTTTGGCTTCATGGGGGAACAAGGAGCAGAGAGTGTGCACGCCGCCATTAACCACATAACTCCCTCATACCTCAACATCCCTGACCGAGTTCAGAGGTTGAAAGGAGTCCTAATGGAGCACCACAGGCAAATATGCCCAGAGCTTACGTCATGTCAACCATCTGTGAAAAGGAGAAAGAAGAAAGAAGACTAACTACAATGCACAGCTTTACGCACACTCTATACCGTGCCGTGCACATAGGCTTAAAAAGAGCGTGACTACTCGCGCGCAAAACCGGTTAGCAAACTGAGGTTTATAGGACCTCGTTCAAACAACAGCACTGCTTACCCTATCGGTAGTCAACGGGCCCCAAAAACTCCAGCTTGGCCTCCATGGTGGTGGTTTGCTCGAAAACCTAAATGGAACTTTTCCCGTTTATAACTCGGGCATGCTTCTGCCCATCAACACGGGAGTTGAACGAACACGCACGTGTTAAAAATGCAAGCTATGCACGCGTTCCCGCGACGTTAGAGGAACGCTATGTTACGTTTCCATAGATTCAAGGGCTATCATGTGAGTATCAATGGGCTATCACGTGAGTATCAATGCGCGGAAACAGCCGTGTGCCCCCACTGCCTGTCCGATGACCACAGTGGAGCCAGCTGCCCCCATAACCCAATGCCCCCGATACTGGGATGGTTTCAAGGTTCTGCCCCCTCTCAATATGCCCCAGCAACACCCCCCCGCGTGGTCCCTGGAAGTGTGTCGCAGCTTCAATGCCGTTTCACCCGGTGTCGTTACTCCCACATTTGCTCGGACTGCGGGGGCCCACATGGCGTCCTCAACTACCCCACTGCCAGTCCTCGTCGACTGGGCGTGGGCCAACCGGACGTAACTGAGGAACCGACAACAACTGTCGCACCCCTATCTCCCGTCCCAGAATTCTACAGGGTCGAAGCAGGTGTAGGCCCACTACCCAAACTTCACGGACTTCCGGATTAGCTAGACCGCATGTGTGCTCTGTAGATTGTAGGTACTGGCCGTACATGTACTTTGTCATGCATTGGGTTGTGTTGTGAAGGACCGCTGGTCCTTACCTTACTTCGGTACAGACACTTAGAACTGATATAGCTAGATCATCCCCTCAAAGGGAGTTAGCCTTCACTAGTTTTGCATGTAAGTAGACTGACTCCAATGATGTCAATCCCTTTGTTCCTGTATGACATTTCACACTTCTTTGCTCTCTTGTATCCTCCTTCCCTTACTCCAGTCTGTTGTACCTATCACTAAGGGCCACCCATGCAAAGCCCGCCTCCTGTTCTACATCACCATCCTCCTCTTTCGTGTCTCATCCTTTATTGCATGTCATGGAGCATCAGTCATGTCACCCACTCTTCCCCTGCCGAACGGCCCTCCCGTGTAAAACAAAGCGCGCAAACTCACGTATAGGCGCATTATTTCGAGGTGGTTTACTACGCGTTGTCACACGCTATTACGCACGCCGTGGGCGTGTCATTACGCGGTTAAGCGTAAACAAGCGCGGTCGCACCCCCAAGTATTTACACTCTAGAGCGCTGTTCCGCACAAACATGGGTGCGTCAGTACGCGGTTATGCGCGAACAAGCGAAATACCGCGAGCGTAGAGTGTACGCCGTCGATTGCGGGTGGAGCACGCTGTCGTGCGTTACTATGCGCGAACCCTAAGTCTGCGTAAATTGGCGTGACTTCCCGCTTGAGTGCGTAAAAGCTTGATATTTCGCAACCGTTGTTGCTGTCTGTGCGCGCTTTTACACGCATTATTTTACATGGGCTTGTATGCGGCACTCGGCCTCGGCTCTCAAGAAATAATAATATTATCTCTGAACTTCTCTTCGGCCGCAATGCCATGCTCCCTCACATTTGGTGGCAGCGGTGGGATCTCGCAGGACAGTTGCGCCGCGGAACCCACAGCGATCGATGACCACACGCTCTGGTCGCTCATTCAAACCAGTGATGGATTCTTCTTCGCCTCATATCGGCATTCCCACAGAGAATGTCCCTACTAATCCCATTCCTCCCACTGAGAGGACTATTGATGACGAATACCCTACGCCTCGAGCTGAGGACGCAGCCCTGCCTACTACTATGACAGCCACAGGAGATCTTGCGATGATCTTAGATGTCATGAGCACCATGATGGTCGACCGCGAATGACGAGAAAAGGAAATCGCAGAAGAGATGCGAAAACAGGACGCCGAACGTGCTAAGGAACGAGAGAGACAGGAACACATACGCCAAGAGGAGCGACGCCGCTACGAAGAAGAGAGCGAATGGCCAATCACCACGATGAACAGGCAGATGGAAATGCTACAAGGCCTGGTCCGTGATCACACCGAAATGGAGGCTAAGAGGGTTCGACCCCATGAAAGTAATGCGACTCACAGACACAGACGATATAGAGTCGTATCTAACAACTTTTGAGCGCCTTATGAAGGCGTATGAAGTCGACAAGGAACGCTGGACCTTCAAACTCGCCCCTCAACTCACAGGCCAAGCACTACTCGACCCGAGCGACGCGGAATGCTACGCCACTGTGAAGGCAGCAATTCTGAGACGATACAACTAAAACGACGAAATGTACCGCCAACGGTTCAGGAGCTTCCGTTATAAGCCCGGGAAGACCCCGACAGAGATGGCAACAAGACTCACAGACCTTGCAGGGAGGTGGTTGAAAGACTGACACCGTAGAAAAAGTAAAGAATGTGGTGGTGAAGGAGCAGTTGCTAGCGACCCTACCCGAAGATGTTCGGATTGGGGCAAGGAGAGGAAGCCAAAAACTATGGGAGACGCAGCCCAGCTACCGGAGGACTACTTTCAAGCAAGACCAGCAGGTACATCACCTAAAACTGAGTGAGTACCCCCAGATCCCTGCCCACGGTGCGGAGAGCGTGGCCATTGGGCTAGACTCTGCCCCACCAACTCCAAGCCATCAACCCGACAGCAGCTGTCCGCCCCCGTGGAGACATCGATAAACCCGCGACCCCAAGGCAGCAGCAGGCCATCTGATCCAGGGTCCCGCACCCAATCAGATGTGAAGTGCTACACCTGCAACGCCAAGGGCCACCTCTCCTACAATTGCCCCAACAAGGCCTGGTTCAGCAGCTCAACCCAACCCGGATAACGAACTGGCAGAAGGGAGAACCATTAATGGCGTCTACTCAAAGGAGATCGTCGTCGACACCGGAGCTGGCAAGACCCTTGTCCGTGATAACTATGTCACGCCAGATGACATCATTGACGGTGAAGTGACCATCCGGTGTGCCCATGGTGATGTGGTTACTTACCCCCTTGCAGCGGTTAAAATTACTGTAGGAAGGAAGGAAATCATTGCCCATGCAGCAGTAGCTAAGTCTCTCCCTGTAGCTGCCCTGCTGGGCTAGGACGTACCAGAGCTGATGGGATTCGTGAAACCCAATCCTGATGCTGAGCCAAACGACACCGTTAAAGCCCCCGCGGTAGTCACATGCCAGCAGCAAGAGGCCACGGATACGTCTTCGTGCGACACTGACTCCCCTAACCCCTCGAGCGAAGATTCTGCAGACGAGCTCCAACCTGACGACTATGCAGAGGATCCACTAGTCACCACTGACCCATCCGACGACCTTGTGGAGGAGGAACCTGACCGGCAGAACATTGCAGAGTTTGATCTCGATGACTCTCTCTTCTCTCTTCTTGGTCAAGAGAGACAAGTGCTCATCCGTTCGCAGAAACGGGCCGCTTGACGCAGGCACGCCGCTCCAGCTGACGCCGAGACTCCTCCGGTCACCTTTTGATCCCTGGACATCACAGCTGAGCAGATCCGTGACCTACAGCAGCGGGACCAAACACTGGAAGCCGCCCGGTTAGTTGCAGATGGTCGATCCAGCACTACAGCCAACCAGGGATTTTTCTCTCGAGACGGACTACTTTACCGCCGTCACCACAGGCCTGGTAGCGACGCCTCAACCGAAGTCGACCAGCTGGTCTTACCAACACAATGTCGTAAGTCCGTGATCGAGTTAGCTTACGACATACCAATGGCTGGCCACCTGGGACGACGTAAGACCATTGGGAGGATCCTACAGAGGTTCTACTGGCCCGGAATATACAGAGATGTCCATGATCACTGCCGCTGCTGCGAGCAGTGGCAGAAATCTTAATGCTGCCGAACAAAACGAGCCCCACTAATCTCTCTCCCCATCATAGACGTGCCCTTCCGACGAATCGCGATGGGACACCTCCCTCGCAGCAGCTCCAGCAAGAGATACATTTTGGTTATCTGTGACTACGCTATGCGCTACCGGGAGGCTCTCGCACTTCAAACCAATCATATCTCCAAGGCACTAATCAGTTTCTTCGCCCGAGTACGAGTCCAGGAAGAAAATCTGACTGACCATGGCACCAATTTTACTTCGCAGCTGATGCAGGAGGTGTACAGACTCCTGCAGATCAAGGCAATTCGAACCACTCCCTATCACGCCCAGACCGACGGCCTCGTGGAGAGGTTTAACCACACTCTAAAGTCTATGTTCTGAAAGACAGCAAGCAAGGAAAGAAAAAACTGGGATGAGCTACTCCCATATCTGCTTTTCGCATATGGGGAAGTCCCCAAAGCCTCAACGGGCTTCTCCCCCTTCGAACTGGTATACGGTAGACAAGTCCGCGTCACGCTGGATATCTTGAAGGAAACCTGGGAATCGAGCCCCAAGAGTCCAGAAAGTGTGGTATCACATGTCCTCATGATGCAGGAACGCCTTGCAGAGTTACAGGAGCTCGTGAAGATCAACATGTAGCAGTCACAGAAGACATGGTATGACCAGAACGCTCGCAAGAGAGAATTTCTACCAGGTGACCAGGTACTTGTCCTTCTGCCAACCGGTACCAACGAGCTGCTGGCGGAAAGGCAGGGGCCTTACCCCATAACCAAATGAATAGGAGAGGTTAACCACGAAATCCGGATGACCGACCGCAGGAAGCATAAGAGGATCTTCCACATCAATATGTTGCACGCGTGGCATGCCCCGACCGCAATCTCCTGCTGCTACGGACGAAGAGGATGATCCGTTCACCTACCTAGAGCCAGACTCTGACGGTCAACCCATATGTGGAGATTCCCTTTCGTTAGCGCAGCTCGCCGACCTACGTGCAGACGTTCAGCCCCGTCCTTAGTAGTTATCCTGGACGTACGTCAATCGTAGAGCACCGACAGGACAAGCGAAACCCGTGCGCCTACCGCCGTACAGGATTCCATACGCCTACCGCGACACAGTACGTGAAGAGCTCCAACAGATGGAGAAGGACGGGATAATCGAATGATCCTCAAGCGAATGGGCCGCGCCAATCGTATTGGTCAAGAAGAAAGACTCTACCCTCCGCATGTGCGTGGATTATCGCCGCCTCAACGCGGTATCCGATGTCCCGCATTGACGACCTAATCGACCAGCTCGTGAAGTGAAGTTTATCACTACCCTTGATCTGTCCAGGGGTTACTGGCAGGTGCCCGTCTGCAAGGAAGACCATCCCAAGTCCATTACAACTTTACTACCCCTTACGGCTTATTTCAGTTCAGGGTAATGTCGTTCGGTCTCCAAGGTGCCATGGCGACTTTTCAAAGGATGATGGACATATTTCTCGAGGGACTTTATTTCGCTACCGCCTATTTGGACGACATTATTATACACAGTCCGACGTGGGACAACCATATCTCCACCATTATCGAACGCTTAGCGAATGCTGGTCTTCCCCTATGCAGACTGGGGACGACTCTAACCACCTACGGCAGAACTTCTCGCAATGGATCTCTGCCGCAGCTCTGATCCAAGGCCATGTACGCTGCTCGCCCGGGTGCAGACGCCGTTGAACAAGCTGGCCTGGAAGCTTGCCTTGGCCTCGCATCCGGATCGAGCCTTCGTCCGATACCTCATCAGGGGCATCAGCGATGGCTTTTGAATCGGTTTCAACCATTCCTGTCCCCTACAATCCAGTCACCGGAATCTGGTCTTGGCCCGCGAGCACCCCGAGGTGATACAGGCCTACCTCGGTAAAGAGCGGTTCATTGGCCACCTGCTCGGTCCCTTCGCACCAAACGACCTAGGCATCCTGCCAGCTCTCCACGTCAACCGCTTCAGCATGATCCTGAAATGCCACAACACTGGTAAGTGGCGCTTAATCACAGGCTTGTCACACCCGCCGGGGAAGAGTGTGAACAGCGGCATCGACCTAGAGCTCTGCTCATTGTCATACATCTCAATCGACCAAGTGGCAACAGTAGCGGCCAGTTACACTGCTGGCGCACTCCTGGCCAAAATAGATATTTAGTCGGCATACCGACTAATCTCTGTCCATCCCCAGGACCACCCCCGTTGCTGGCAGGGGCACCTGTATGTGGATCCCATGCTGCCGTTCGGGCTCCGCTCTGCACCTAAGATCTTCAACTCACTGACCGATGGCTTGGAGTGGCATCTGCGGAACTGCGGGATCCGTCAGGTTTTCCACTATCTGGATGACTTTATCATTGTCGCTCCACCACACTCTTTTGAGTGGCGGAAGCTTTGGCCACCATCACATGGCGTGTGCTACTCTCGGTGTACCACTCGCTGAGCACATACGGGAAGGTCCTGGGTGCCTGACGTTCCTTGGTATTGAGGTGGATACTGTTGCTTCCCAAGCTGTGCCACCTTCGGCCCTTCCTTGAGGTCTGGAGATACAGGAAAGTGTGTGAGTGGAGGGAGCTCGAATCCCTGGTGGGGATCTCACACCATGCCTGCAAAGTTGTACGGTTCGGTCGCTCTTTCCTCCGCCGCATGATTGACCCTAGAAAGGCATGCATCACCATCCTCAGCGACCTCACCCTATCAGACTGAATAGGTCCTTCCTCTCTGATCTCACATGGTGGAGGTCTTTTCTCTCGAAGTGGAATGGTGTCTCCTTTCTCACTCCCTCCTCCCACCTGCCACGGTTGCAGATGGGGTCCGACACTTCGGGGTCATGGGGCTAAGGGGCATGGCACCTCGGCCACTGGTTCCAATTGCAGTAGGACACGAATTCAGCACCTCTTCCGATCATGGTAAAAGAGTTACTCCCGGTGGTCCTGGCATGTGCTATATGGGGGCCAGCCTTGTCACCGTGCACTGTGACAACCAAGCCTGCCTGCTTACAGTCGCGACAGCCACAACAGGGGAAATGGGCCTGGCCTGTTCTTCCTGACCACGAAGAAGGCTCCACTGACTAAGCAGGCATTCGTGGAAGAGATTAGGAAACTTCTCAGGGCACTCGAACTCCCGGAGGAGAACTATGCTGGTCACAGCTTCCGTATTGGCGCTGCAACATCTGCTGCACTTGCAAAGGATAAAAGACAGAACTATTCAGCTGCTGGGTCGGTGGCAGAGTGGTGCCTTCCTTCGGTACATAAGGACACCACACGAACTGTTGGCTGCCATGTCAGCACTAGCCTCCCAGAGGCGCCTCACCACAGACGCTCATCCGATCCAGTAGGGCTCCAACATTGCTCTAGATTGTTGCTGGGTTGGTGGCAGAGTGGTGCCTTCCTTCGGTACATATGTATGCAAAATACTAGTGCATATGGCCCAAACGACTGCTTTTACGACCTTGTGAAGGCACTATGAGCGAATATTATTTTAGCTTTTGTTCATGATGAGTTCAGGTCCCATACCTTTCGATTGGAGCAGAAAAATTTGCTCGTCGTGCACGCATCCGTGCATACATGCACAATTGCCTTGTGCGCATTCAGTTCCTCAGAAACATTCCTGCATGTCCTGTTCCTTGTAAATGTAGCTGACATGCCAGAAGATGGTAACAGACAGGTTGCTACACTTACGAACCAAGTACTGTAACCCTTGCTGCATGCGCCCTGATAGAAGACTGATGCTATTCTGGTGTTCCTCAAGATACAATGGTTTTAAAACAGCTACGCCATTGTGTCAGTTGTTCTTCTAGCAGACTTTAATTTAATTTACTGTAAATAAGGTAACTCCTAGATCACTAAGTATCTGCCCACTGGCTTCTATTATTTGCTCCTTGGAGCACCAACGGTACTTAGTTGTGAATGAGAAACAAGCGCTACCGCTAATTACCATTACACGCTTGACATAATATTGCTGAATCAGCATTTGTTCACGTCATATCATGCTTTGCATAGACAGTCTCATTTTTGCCTGCTTGGTGCTATACTAGTATATTTTCTGTCTAAAACCCAGGGAGATCCAAAACCACTTGTTATCCCCAAAATGAATGTGAGTGGTTCCTATGGACTAGGATTGTTCTTATAAGGTTGTTCTTAACTCCTAGTCTTGCTACAATAGTCATCCCTACTGGGGCCTTTTTTGGAGGTTGTAATTGTCACTTGAATATGTAATTGCTTCTAGGACAACTATCCGATTATTAAGTAATGATTGAGGATCATTTTAATATTTTACTTGCGTGGATTGCTTAAAGCACGAGAAATTGGGCAAAGAGTTAAGTAGTTATCATTCAACTCTCTTAGCCCTTTAGTACTTCGTTTGTGTGTCTGTCAGTTAGTCAGTCAGTCTGTCAAGGATTCGGTTAGTCAGTGTGTGTGTTTCGACGACTATTCAGGCACTGCAGATAAGAAAATAGCTTATGAGTGATACCAGCTTCTCCACAGAAGAAATTTATAGATTAGAGGTTTGTGTAGAAATGCGATAAGATTCGCAGGGACGGAAAGTTCAGTAGCACTGTCTAGTTGCATTGTGGGTTGTGTTTGCAGCTAGCTAGAGAAAGGAATGAAAGTAGTACACAGTCCTTAGTGTGAAAGCAAAAGTGAGCATGTAGATCGCCATGAACAGCTGACTCACTGACAAATTCTGGTCCTATTCCTGGCAAACATTAATTAGTCAGTGTCCAGATAAAATATTTAGTTATAAGAGGATTTAAACACCACCCTAGCCACATGGAGTAGTGAAATTGCACTTCCCAAAACAGCAAAAGGTCTGGGATTCCAGCCCTTATGCACCTCAAAAGTTCACTCTGTTGTTGTGTTTAGTAATATTTGTACTTACGTATGCAGGATTATGCAGACTATGAAACCGTTCCATAGTGTCACCCATGGAGGCTCAAAGGCAGTGATAAGGTTTGTGCATTTTACACGTTTTCTAACCTACTAAAACTTCAAGGCATTAGTGAGCACTATAAAAGTTAAGAAGGCCTGTTGAAAATACTGCCATGCTGGGGGCATTTTATGTAACAGGCCGACTGCCCTCGATGAGTATGCTACATAACAATGCACGCTGACATCCTTGCCAGAGGGTCACACACCCCCTCAAAGGTTTGTGCAACTATCCGCCTGTTTTGGGTAGTTTTGATGGGCCCCCCTGTAGGGGATAGGTAAGGACCAAATCAGCCAGCCCATTCCTTTTGGGGTGGGCACAATTCTCCACAAAAACTTGGGGATAGCTATGTACTTTTAGGTCTTGCAACCAACAGACTGTGGGCTATGCCAATGCCACTCTATTTCGCACGCGACAAACACAGTGAATGAGTCATGTTTCAACAGTGTGTGACCAGGCTTATCCTTAATTGTCGGTTGATGCCGCGTCGGCCAGAAGCCTTGTCCCGGGTTCGAGAAGTGGCAGTACTGGGCACCAGGAAGCGCGAACTCCCCTGTGCCAGGTGCTGTCCCTGTGGGGAGGGGATAATTGTAGGACAGAGGAGCCTAAGGGCTGCGGCCCGGCGGGCGGCATGGAAGGTTCGCAAGCCCGGAAGAGAGACAGAAAGACCACGGGCCAAGTAGTTGCATTGGAGACACTGGAGGGCCATGGGCACAGTAGTTGGATAAAAGGCACCATATGGCCGCTGTAGTAAGATCGGCCCGGTAGGGCCAGGTGATCAGGACAAGGGGACCCTATGATGGCTCGGGCACATGGTTGGCAAAGCATTCTAAAATATAAGCGCCACCACGAAGCAAGCCACACTAACCCGTGACTTACCAGGTGATCTTGACTATTTCTCTCCTTCACCCCTGTTGAACAAACAATTGTTACACGCTGATATCTCTATAACCAAAGGTGGGTTTGCTGGGTGGTGTACCCTGACTCTTCCATGCACTATGACTGACTGTAGAAATCAGATCTGCTGCCTTCTCAGGAGACATTATTTTAATTTGTCAACGGCGAAATAGAAGATTAAACAAAAAAGTGCCTACATGATCTTGTCCAACTCCCTCTGAGCTCTTTCATTGCTTATTATCCCGCCAAATCTGTATGCACGCATTGTTTCAAAACTTCCAAGTAGTGTTGCTGTTTATTTAGAATCACGTAGAACATTATGGTATCTGGGAATGCTTGATGACAGTTGGATGCACGTAGGAAGATTTTGCCGGATACTCAAAAAGGTTTCCTCACTCCGATCACCAAAGATGTGTATATGCAAGAATAATCTATATAAGAATGCTTGCAAGTTGCAGGATACCCTTTTATGCATAAACCATGTCCAAAATGTAACTCGTCCTTGGGTCTCTTGCTTTATCTAGTATACATACCGTATTTGGGCATGGTTTACGTACTTTGTGTCACCGAAATAACAATTCGGTCCCCGCCCTGCTCTGTTTGGAGCCAAAATCTGCTCACACACATCCGTACTCTGCTCACGCCCGTCCGTACTCAGCTCACGCCCGTTCACTAAAACCGTTCACAGCACCATGCCGAGCGCAGAAAGAGTCGAGCCTCGAGCCGAGCGTTGTGGACTGCTACGACCGCTATTGTTTGTCATCCTATCGAATGAAGTGACAGACTGGAACCCCGATGACCAGTTTCACTTGATCACTGTCTTTAGGCGCTGCCATTTCGAAAGCCCTGAGAAAGTAGTCGGTATGTACCTCAGCACTTCCACCCCGAAACAGATTAACACACGCTGGGCAGTGTAGCAGCTGGGCAGTTCATTTTTATATTGGTTGCCGGCACTATAGATCCGCCCACAGAAGGTGACATAAATGATATGTACGTAGCTACCGGCGTGTGACGTCTTCTTGAGCTGGCATCTGGGGCATCGTGGAGACTGCTGAAGGTTGGCTGACCACCACAGTCTCCACCATTTTCCCGGATTTCCCCTTCCTGCGGCTCCTGGCACCACGATCGCCTTGTGCTGCTCTTGCATCAAATGGTGTCCACCCCGAAGCTCTAGCGTCAAACGGTGTCCACCTCTGACATCGCTCATGTGCTGAAATGTACCAGGCTCCCCCTCCACTTTTCTCTAGGTCAAAGGTCATACGCATGAATTGTGGCACGCGGAGAGGGAGAGCCTGGGAACAAGGCTAGTAGAGGACCCTTGTGAGGTCTGACTAAAAACGTTATATGTTGACCAGAATGTCGGAGAGTACATACTTATATATATATACAGATAGATACACACATTTAAGTGGCAATAATAAAAAAAATATATGTATGTAATGTCCACATTCTACTTTGCAGAGAAAAGCTAGCAGCCAAAATCTCGAAATAAGCCAAGTCTTAGAGCCATAAAAGTTCGGAGGAATCACCCCATTCAAATACCAAGTGTGTAGTTTACGGGTTATTTTGGCATGGTTTACGTAATTTGTGTCACCGAAAGAATGCAATTGGGTCCCTGCCCAGCTCGGCTCATACCCGTCCATACTCCGCTCACACCCGTTCACTACAGCCGTTCACAGCACCATGTCGAGCGCAGAGAGAGCCAAGCCTCGAGCTAAGCATTGTGGACCGCTACGACCGCTATCGTTCTCCCTCTGTCATCCTATCGAATGGATGACGGACTGGAACCTCGACTTGATAACTGTCTCTTAAGTGGAAGGATCACGCTGTCATTTCGAAAGCCCTGAGAAACCAGTCGCTATGTACCATAGCGCTTCCGCCCTGAAAATAACACATGCTGGGCAGTTGAGCTGGGCAGTTGATTTTTCCATTCTGTCGTTTCTTGCATATTTAAATCGCAGCTAGCAAGCACTTTATACATTATAAAGTGCCTGCCGGCACTATTGATCCACCCCATTGAAGGTGACACAAGACTTTCCAAAATAAACAACCATTTACAGAACTAGGGACTAGAGAAAGAGTGAAGAAGTTTTATTTTTCAAAAGAAGTGGACCTTCAGCCAGAGTTGCCATTTGAATGCAAGGGAGTAGCATCGGGGAAGTTATAGAAATTTATCTCATTGTATGTGGTATTGTCTACCATGAGCCCAAAAAAAATGGCGAAAATTAAGAGACAAAGTCGGCAATCAAATTTAGAACTTCTGATTACTAGACCAACACCCTCCCTACCTTTGCACTGCAGGCACGTAGTGGGCTAAAGGGTGTTATAGCTAGGATGGGAATGTTTTGCTCTAGTCCCATCCCAAGGCCTTTGAGAGGCCTAGTACTCACTTTTTTGTGTTAGTATGCATTTTCTCCCCCTGCAAAATCTGGTTACCGGTTACTTCCAGTAAAGTATCAGTACTTTCTCTCTACGTCTGAATGCACTCCCTGAGAGATCGAACACCACAGGGCCAGTAATATTAGTACCCATAGGCCTTACTTATCCTTGCCACCAGAAGTGTACCTCTGATGAATTGAGACTTGTGTGTAAACTAACCACGACACCCCCCTCCACAGCATTCAGCCGTGTACTAGTTTGTGCATTTACGTATGTTATAAGCATACAATATTGCTCCGAAGGCCGTGCACTGTTAGCCCTTTTGTGGGTCCACACTGTGTTTGAGGGTTCACTCTTTTGTTGGGAGTGTCTGCACTGCAAATTGGGGGATCCTCAATGCCATTTGGAGGACCGACACCCTGACTTCGCGTCATGCAATCTGATCCTTGTACCCAAAGTCCTCTTTGTTTCTCCAATTGTACTCTCTATGTACACAGCGTTAGCCTGCATTGTGTGTGGTATGTTGTTCGGATGTTTTATCTGCTGGTTGTTCTTTGGATTTCCGTTCTCAGTTCCCTGCCGGTAACACACCCGCTAGCTATCTTTTTCCATTCAGTATAGAATCTTACTAGTCTCAGATAATGTGGCCTGTCACAGCTTGTCTTCAGGCCAGACCCTCACACACAAGGATCTGGCTAGCAACACCTTCACAGTGCATGGCCCAACGATCACAAACCCCAAAAGAATGCAAGTGACTGATAAAAGTTTGAAGAAGGAGAACACCGAGCCTCGCTGTCGGTAATCTTGTCAGATCACAGTGCAGCGTCTGGAGTCCCTAAAGTAGTTACACAGTAAAGGCCTCCCAAATATTGGTATGCAAAAAGTCCTACTTAAAGGTAGTTGCTGCTGAGATTTTGGTGATTACTGGATTTCAGCCTACTGTAAGGGATTATAATGATGACCTCTTTAATCAACCTGTAAACTAAGTACCTTCGAATGAACTCTAAGTTTGTACACTCTTCAGTAGTTATTGAATAACTGTTTTTACTTAGGAATGCTCAAATATTCGTTTCTAATTTGGCTCTTGTAAATGAAGCAGCTTAGTACGAGACTCACGAGACTCACATTGTTTATGTATCCCTTACTCTTTTGCAAATGTTTTAAACTAGCAAACAGAAATAACTACCATGGTTCACTAAAGCATTTCTTTAATCATGCCATTATTTTTGCACATGTAGGAAGGGACCTATACAGCCTGTTTTGATGACAGTAATGCAGAGGATGGGAAACAAAAAAGTTACTTTGGTCGAAAACCTAGAGTTTTATGGCATTATGGCCGAGAAAGTTGCACATACTGCTCAAAAATTAGCCGCTGCAAGCACAACAGGCAAGTATAGGGATAGATAGTTTAGAGAAGAAATTCTGTTGTTTTTGTTCTTGCAATGACTCTTTAGTACATACAATCGTTATTATTATTAAAATCTATGGCCATTATAGACTTTTGCTTGCACATGCTTTGATGTAATTGGGTTGCTTAGAACTACCTGTGTGCACTGAGAAAATTAATTTAATGAGTGAACCCTCACAGACGGTTCTAGAGGCTGTTGAACAGCGAAGGCCCACGTTGTGAAGTGTACTCCAAACTTCGGTAAGCCCTTCCCTTTTACTGGAGCAAAGGGGGTTTCCGGGCAACGGGGAAACTGGCTAGCTACGCCCCTGTAATACTCGCCGTTTGAGCAGGACTGCTTGCTTACAGGTTGTAACACTGGTCCGAATTACCGAGCTAACTAAGCCAACAGTTTCTGACCAAGTGACTTGAAACAAGCCAAACTGCTGTTCGAGACTCTCTCGACTAGACTACAGGAGCAATGAAGCGCCTCAATTCGTTTTGGTTCATTCCTTCCGGCAGCTAACCTTCTTTCCTGTTCCCAATGATGGTAGTAGCACAGGACCTTAGTTTGACATCTTCCTCCTCGTCTATTGCGCTCCAACCGCCGAATCCTACCCCCAGGTATGCATCCTGCAGCACAGCGACCTACTCAGGCGAACCTGGGGAACCTTAGTAATTAGGAGAAGTTATGGCTGTATAACAACGCCTGCAAGACCTTAATTATGCCTTTCCTGAGTATGGTAAAAAGTGTTGTTTTCATTACTCTTTGATAATGCAGTTTTCGTAGCTATGTTATTTTGTTTCAACTGATGGAGGGTTTTGCCGCAATCATGTCCTCTCTGCTAAGCATTTCCTTTATCTATTCCATTCTTGGATAAGTTAATAGGACGCCTTAAAGTCCCGATTCTCCAACATCCAGCCACAAGCCATGAGAAGTCTAACATAATTTTGTTCCATCAGTGTTACTAGATGACACACTGCCCATGCCCACCATAGAGGAAATTGTGGACTATTATGGTGAGGACATACGAGCTCCCTCATCACTGAGTACAGAACTTTGTTTATGGACAATTTAAGTGGAGTTCACCACTGAAACTGTACCAGACACACCGGCCAAAGCTCTTAGGAGGCTTTGTTCCCTAATATTCATAGCATATTGCGTTTGGTTTGCATACTGCCTGTTACTATTTGTGAATGCGAGCGCAGTGTCAGTGTTCTTCGCTGTTTAAAAACCTACCCTCGTTCTACAACTAATCAGGAGAGGCTCTGTGGACTAGCTCTATAATGCTCTGGCATGGAACTTGACTTTGTAAACATTTTTGCTCTAAAACATCCCCATAGACTGGCTCTCAGAAATTTATTCCGTGACATAAGTTCAGTAAACGACTTGTATGTGTACATATCTTATAGGTTGTGACTTTTTAATGGTCTGCGTCAATCAAGTATAAAAGGTAACACGGATCAATCTCAGTGGACAAAACACTTAGCATGCCTTCCCTACCAAGGGATGTAGATCTCCCCCCCCAAATTGTTTTTGTATCTGCCAGCAAAGTATGAACTATGCTAGCTACATGTTTTGCGTAGCTAGCTCACCTGTCCCACATGGAAGCGGAATCAGTGTGGTCGCCACGGCAGAACGCCACATCATGTAAACATAACCTTAAGGGGAAGCAATGGGGCAGATGTCGGTTGCAATTATACTTAGTCATACGACAAATTGTGTCCTGTGCTTCACACAAATGAACTGTTTGTTCACTGTGTCTTCAACCGATCACAATCTAAATGAACGTTGGGTAAATCTTATGCAATATCGCTGCCCCTACATGTATATCCTTGGAATTCTTTATGAAAATTACCATGGCAGACCAGATGATTTCTTTGTCCCAACAGTGGAAGTCACATTTAATCACATAATTGTTGGAGTTATCATATAGAGTTTTTAAATCCTCTATATGTTTCGACAACCATTGGTTTTGATGAAAACTGTTAGCTACATGTGCTACACATGGTTCTGTTTGTTTATAATTGTTGTAGCTTCTATTGCTTAATCCTGACGTTGACAATATAATGTGACCATGTACACGAAAACCAGGCATTGGTATTGAATATCAAGCGTTAAATCGTGTAACTGACTGCAGCGTATTGCCTGTCCAAATACTTCTCCGTATTCGTACTGGTTACTACTCCGCGTTACAAAGAGATCCGACCGACATGTGTGCCACTAGAGTGCTGTAGCGGCCAGCGCGTGTGGACTTGTAACATGGTAAATGAAAGCACTAAAGTGCAAACCCTTGGTGAACTGCGTATGCGAGTACCACTAATAGATGTGCTGGGCTATTAGTGTCTATGCGTTTATGTGTGGTCTCCCGCTAGTAGCTCGTGGAGAGTCTGACACGGGCTAGCTACAGTAGTAGATCGCATGCGGGAGTCGATACACGCCTTTCACGGTCCCTCCAAGGTACACAGAGCAAGCGGATCAGGTTGAGGTATGCCTGTGCTAGTTTGCATATTGGCTTGTGCACTTGCTTTTCATGCCATAACTTTTGAACGCATGAAATCCCCTTTTTGTAACATCAAGCCAGTGTAGCACTGAACCCGTTACTATCGCTGTTTCCCCGATATCATGCGGGTGGTGGCAGAAAACGTGGTAACAGATGCAGTTGTTTCAGGAATTTGTTCTGAAATCCTGAAGCCATTGGTATCACTTATAGGCCGCCACATGGCCTGTAGTGGCAGAATAAGCGCCGGCACACAGACCGACAGACAAACCAAGTACTGTAACCCTCGCTGCGCATGCGCGCCGATGGTTAATAAAAGTTTACCGTTCTTAGCAACAACAATTTGCTCTTAGACAGCTCAACACATACCTTTGCTTCACCTAGAGTGAAGGCTGTTTTGCTGTCGCAACCATTCTATTCCTACTGGTTGTGCAAGTTGTGCTGAAACACTATGACTCAAGCCTCCTGGCCGACTTGGTAACATCCCTCTCTGCTGGGGATAGACGACCAACTCAACGCTGGTCACCTACCCCACGCTGCTCACCCTCACCTGCTAGACACTCTGTCTGTTGGTACCACGAGCGTTTCGGAACCTTGGCAAGAAAGTTCCAACCCCCATGCTCACTGTAGGGAAATGACCAGGCCGGTCATTAGCGATGATACACTACAGGTACAGTGGCATGGGTGCAGTAGTCAGTGTTGTACCCCCACTTCATACTAAGCGATCACCGAAAGCCGACAATCTTCTTTTTCTATAACTTTAGTACGGCAATTGCCGCGGCGTAGTCTAAGGCTGGTTTCTGTGAGATAAAAATAGCTTCTCTTACAGTTTGTAGTGTTAAATGGCCCCGCCCCTTGCGCATGTCTAGGTCCGCGCGTCAGCCCCAATCGGTGATTGCCTCCTAGAGCAGGTTCTGTTTTATTACACGCCTATATCTGTCGATACCAAAAGGCACCTGTGCATATCTTTGTCGCAGCTAGTATGCCTATATGTTTCGATACTAAAAGGCACCTGTGCTTATCTTCATCGCAGCTAGTGTCGCAAGCCAGACCAGGCTTGTTAGACTACATCGTGGCCATTGCTGTGCCAAAGTTATAGAAAAAGACCTAAATGCTCGGTATCTGTAAGAGGTAAGAGCAGAGAAAACCAGTGAAAACATTCGAGCAGATATTCTGAACTACGTAGCCACGCCTATTGTGCATGCGTAGATGAGAAAGAAAAGCAACACGAAAAAGACTAAGTTCTCAAAGGGTGTGTCAGATTAAAAACCGGAATTCTCATCTCAACGTGGATGCATTCCTTCATGGAATTAATGGAAATCAGACTTCTGGTGAGTTTCTCGGGCTCGTCTTCATGAACTGAGCGAGGCTAGGCTGAAACTTCTGCAGCTGTTCTATTGACCTATGCACGATGTCTTGATACTTCAAGTTGCAGTCATTTCACAGAGCCCGCCACACGCGAGGGGTTCGATCGTGACCTACGCGACATAGGTGTGGTTGAACCCGGGGCACTGTTTGTGCCCCCCTCTGAGCTGCAGCTGATAGCGCTAAAAGGGACTGAGTTCCTTGACACCAGAAGCGTTGTCCTCTGTGCAGGGAGCATTTTAAAGACAGGCACAGTCATCCTGGGCTGTGGAAAAGTTAGTTGCAGCAGTTCCTCCTGAAATACACTGAAAATACCGAGGTCTTGAGTATGAAGTCTTGTGATTGAAGTCTCCGGCATGGAATGAGTGGTAAATTCAGACGAGAATTTATTCCACGTTACATTAAAAGCAAGAACACAAAAAGAAAAAGGAATGTTGCTGTGTACCTTGATGTGGCAATACATCTGAGCATACTGCCTTTGACAATATATCTGAGGTAGCCATGTGAGTGTAAGTGAGGAGGTAGATACTGGCTGTGGCCAACACCACCTCTGTTCACAGCATTATTATGCTACCTATTCACATTGTCAAAGTGTTAGCGATGTGCACTGTGTAGTAGCAAGAGCCACCACCGTGCAGGTAGTGACAGGAGTAGACCTTTGCCACAACCTGAACGCATTCAAGTAGACATGACGGGGATTCAGAAAAGTGTTTAGACGTTGAGGTGATCAGACAGAGTGTGTGGAGTGGAATTGAGTTTGAGGATGAGTTGCCCCCCCTCATCTGATGTCCTGTGGCGCCACTGGCAGCGAACCTGTTCAGTCTCAGACATGTGGAATCAGCTGCCAGAAATCACATGAGATTGCTGGACATCACTCATTACGGCTGGAAAATCATAGATGGGAAACTAGAGTGTGATTGGGAGTCAGTTGAGAATAGGGAGGCAGTGAGACAACAACTGGGCCTACTGTTTTGAGGATGCTCTTGTTCATATGTTATGGCATGCAGTACACGACGATACAGTTTTGTTAAAAAGGGGAACAAGTATGGTCCTGGTTGTGGGTATAAATACACCCAGCGCAACAGGTACACAGCAACAAACCTCAGCAGCGTGCTCAGAAGTGTTAGTAGAGATTGAAGAGGAGGAACTGTTGCATGCTCTGTAGGGAATATGGGGAAGCGTGTGTGAGTGACGAAGAGGGTGGTGGTTGTGACTCCTGTTATGAGGACGATGTATGAAGCTGCCCTACTTCTGAATTCTCACACTGCTCCACTGCCTGGGTTACACCAGCCTCTATGTCATATATACGAAGAATTTTAGCCTTCCATAATAGCTCTAGTCTGCAATGCTGGAGTTACATGAATTTCAAACAGTTTTGTCATGCACATATATTTAGTGATGTTTAACCCCATGTTAAACAAGGCTAATGTGGAGGGAGCAGTGGCGTCCAGTGGGCGGTGCTATGGTGCGCATGTGGGGCGGCGGTCAGATAGCCCGCAAGTCGCAGCAAAGGCATGCAGCAAGAGAAGTCACAGGAAGGGAGACTTTCTATACGACATGAGCTGGGAGCAGTACTAGGGGCATCATGACCGCACTACCTCGTTGCGGTGAGTTTGAGGCACATGTGCGTGACACTGGACGGTGCTAGCAAGCAGACTAGCAGGCCCTTTGGCTGTTGCACCCCAGTGTGGACACCAGTTGCTGCAGTCTCAATTGCTGGCTAATATCTTTGTCAAAGGCCTATATTGCAACCATACTGACACAGATGTTGTACTGTGCCATACACTGTCAGAACACAGGGTCAAAGATGACTGCCGCCCAAGCACAGTTAGACCGACAGCTGGTGGCAGCACATACCCAGCATTCTGTTACGATCGCTGAGCTTCCAGACATAGTAACTAGGCCCAGTCAGAGTCCCATAGGGCCAAACCTGGTCCTGTTCAGCGAGGCAAGGTTAGAGAGTCATGCATTTTAGGTGCTCTCGTCTGGGCCAGGTCAGTGCACCTATCTGCAATGAAGCTAGGCCGGCTGGGCCTATTTTTGTTGCCAATGCCCTGTCAGGGATATCAGTGGCAGTGCAGCCAGGTTGGTCAGATCTATCACTGATCGGTCAGGCCTATCAGTGTCGATGCAGCTTGGTCGGACATGACAGGGGTTATGTTTTCGGTCTCTATATCTGTCGTCGTCCGCACTGAAATCAACAGATCTTGCTTTTAAACGCAGCTAAACTAGAAAACTAGCATCACTGTTCTTGGAATCAACAACACTGTTGCTAGAAATCCAACTTTAAGCATCGGGTCATTCAACATGTGTGCTACACGATACCACACGGGGTATGGGCTTTCCAGAGCTCTAGTTTGCAATGCAGCCAGGTCGATCGGACCTACAATTGGTAGACTCCTATCATTGGTAATTTGGTGAGGCCTATGACTGCCATCGCAGCTAGGTCGGCCAGGCCTACAATTGCTCTGACAGCTATGTCAGAGGCATGTGTCACCATGGCCAGCTGGCAGCTGTTGCAGATGTGTAAGGATAATGGCCCTACACAGAGTGTCTTTTACAGTGTCAAAGGCCTTTCTTGCTTCGTCTGTCAAGGTTACGACTCGGGATCCCTCTTTGGTGTCGGTGGGGAGCTGGTTGAGGTGGTGAAGTAGATCCGCTCCATGTGGGATAAAACTATGGTAAAATTGACCAACCCGAGAAAACCACGGACCAAGGCGTTGCTGACCGGCCTGGCTGCATTGACACTGATAGGCCTGATAGGTCTAGCACTTGTAGGCCTGACCGACCTTGCTGAATTGCCAAAGACCCTATCTCCTACTTCTTGAGGAAGCTCAAAGCTGCTCAAACCCGTCACAGTACCTTCGACCACGCACTGCTGGCCAGCTACCTCACTATTTACCATTTTGTTGAAGGTTGAGAATTCACTGACCACAAACCACAGACATGCGCTCCAACTACACGCTCAACACAATTCTTCCCTCGACAAATTTGTCACGTTTTGAATTGCAGAATTGCAGTCTAACCTTCTAAAACATTTGAAGCACATGGTAGGGAATTTCGTGTATGTGTATGATCATCAGTTTACTGTGGGTCCACACTCCCTTTGACTCTTACGACTTTGTACATCTCGTTGTGCAGGAACGTAACCCGTGAAATCCCTCTGGGGTAGGTCTATTGAAGTTCGTAGAATCCTTACCCTGTCCCACAATTGTCGATACATGGAATGACTGCCAAAAAACAAGGAATGCAGACTTGTAAGGAGAGTAGCCAGCTAGCGTGATATTTGCTAAAAAAATGCAATGGCTCACTAGATTGATTGTTATAGACAACTCTTACTCCACTGGTGCCTTCGGGTTGTTCATTGGTTTAGCAGACACCTCTCTGTGACAGCAGATTGATAGCCTAACGTGAATCCTTTTTGTTACTCTGAACAGCTCTGATGGGCAAAGGGTCTCACATGACCAACACATCAGTGTTCACCTTGTACTACGGCCTATCACATTTCCGATAGCACGGTTTAGCTGCCACCTGCTTTTAGCATTCATTCATATCTAAGCTATGTTTTGTTTGCAGGACCTTAGTGCACTTTCAGTTGTGACTGCTTTTCTAAGTACTTTTTACTCGCCATGTGTAGTTTGGAGTAGATCAGGAATTGTGGTTAAACTTTTGGTTGGCAGTGCAAAGGCGATTAGTTGCAATGTGCCTGGGACGGGCAGAGACAGGGGCTTTCATGTGGCAATGTGATGTGTAACTAAGGTGTTTGTTAGTTCGGGGCGCTATGTGAAGGGGCAGCAACACGAGCTCTTCAGTCATGTAACTATATGGGATGTATATATCTAACAGCTGCAATTGTTTCATACTAACAAGTGGACAAAGTTGATGGAATTAGAAAATGGGGTCATTACAAAATGTGGCTAGTTTGTGTACGGAAGGTGCAGTCCGAAGGTGACTGGTACAGGGCAGGCAGTGCTCGTCACCTGTACTTACTGGTGTTGGCGTAGAATCTCTAGTACAAGGCTACTTCTTTCACAGCTGTAGTGACACCCTTTGAACCACTTAGTGCCTGAACAACAAGACTGATAAATTCATATATACACTATTATTGGCGCAGAGGGTGGAGCATCTGAAGGGGGCAGAGCCCTTGAAGGGGGCAACCCCCGGAGGTGGGTGTGGCGATGTTCCTGACCACTCCTGCTGATGGGTTGGACTTCAGCTACACCAGCTCCTGACGCCACTGTCTCCGTGATCGGCGTTGAGAGAGTGGCATCCCAAGAAGCACATGGACAGCAGATATCATTGTCAACTTGTTAATTGTTTCTAACGTTGACATCGTCTTCATTGAAACCACTACCAACCACTTGCTTCCGGCATTGACAACCGCAAGGAACATTCCCTTGAATGGACCTGTGACGTCTACATGAAGACATGCCCATTGTTCCCAAGGCCAATCCTAAGGATGCAGTTTTGCTGGAGGAAGAGCTGACTGAGTCTCTTTACATTGTGCGCGTTTCCCTCTTGTGCGTTAAGGCCTGTCAGCGAGCAGTAAACTGGAAGCTTGACGGAATAACGTAACCATGCCCCGTGGTAACGTTTCACGAAATATATTCGGAATGATGCTACGTACTGACATCATTTAGTGAATCTGCGCATGCGCAGAACGCGGACGCGTGGTACAACTGTTTTTCGCTTAGGCAGAAGGGTTCCGCTTGGTCTAAACCTACTTTGTTGCAAAGTCCTCTGACTGTTTATCCAACGGGGAAGGTGAGTAACGTGGCAGTTTTAGATGCAGTGCCCGTTTTTTTTGCAAAACTGGGGTTTCGTTGGTTTAGTTCGTTATCTACGGGTCATCAGTGTTATTTTCAATTCCCAGTTGGATGAAGATTAACTTTGGTATGTACTTGTTTCTCTGAGCACTAGATGAATTCTTAATTCGAAGCGTAAGCAATCCGCCTAAACAAACAAATAATGTGGGTGCGTTGACAACTTGTTAAGGGAGTTATGACTGATTAGTTCTGTCATTATATGAGGTTTCAAAGCTAAAGGTAAAGTAACACTCTGAAAACAAACAAAAATCTTAAATTTAGCATGTTTTGATGCACCCAGGCCTTAATGCACTAGAGCTGCACTCTGTTCTTTAAGTTCTTCAGACATGCTTGGCCACAACACGTAGACTTTTGCTAGGGCCTTCATCCAAACAATTCCCGAGTATCCTCCGTGCACAGCTTCCCCGTCTGGTCGTGGTATCACCACCAGTGACCCATACAGGAGACAACGATTCAAATATGCGGCTGTAGAGACTCCCCGTCAAACTTTGCTGGGCAGTTCTGCAGACAAATCTCAAAACTCGTGAAGGTATGGGGTCACTTATACCCTTCCTCTACCCAAGAATCGTTCATACTGTAGAACTTTTGTAATTCTTTCTGCTGATGACAATGTTCATCCATGAGGCAAATGTGATATCTGGCATTCTGTTTGCCGTCCAAGTTTTGAGCATGAACAAGACTGGTATTTAATCTCACAGGTTGCTAATACCAAACACACCCTATGAACACAGAAATCACTTTTACGTGATCTCACTAACCACTTAAATTCAATGCACACTAATAATTAACATTTTAAGAAGTGGGCTGTGTTAGTAACTCATATTCGTTTACTAATAAGAATGTTCTACCTCTATGCAGTTGAAAGTACACCCGGGTCATCTAAGGTCCTTGTTCAAGGAAATGCTGTGAACATAATTTCAAAATTACTGCAAGGTAGTAAGTAATAAAGTTGACAATACCTGATACTGAATCATTGTACTGCAGTTCCTCTTTTGTAATCAACTAACGCTTTTGAGCTTTTTTGCTGTGTACCTGTGGCACTAGAAAAATTTCTGCAGTTCTTACACCTCCAATCACACTCTAGTTTCCCATCTACGATTTCCACACTGGGTGATTTCTGGTATATAGCCTGGTTCTATATGTCTGATACACACCAGGTTTGCTGGCAGTGGCACCACAGGGCATCAACCCACCTCACATACTCATTTTGATAACCTCAAGGAACCTCTTGCGTTGCTGTACAGAACTTACACCGTCCTGCAAGAGGTGCAAGAATGTCACAGTACTAATGAGCCTAAAAAAGAGAGGAAATCTTGGGTTGGATACCTTTGCAAAGGTATATTATTGGGGGCACATTCCAACACCTGAAGCTACATGTACAAGCCGTGAACACAAACCACGGGGTACAAGAATCCCCTGTGTCTTACCACACCTATAATATACGCAAGCTACGATCAGACGCATGAAGTTGACTGTACAAACAAAACGTGACAATGTTTCAGCTTGAAACCTGGTAAATCAAGACTCCATTGATAGGTCTATAAAAGCACTAGCACAGTTTTCGCCCAAGGATGTTCACTTCTCAACTTACCGGAAGTTTAAGGTTGATTTATTTACACAAATTAATGTGGTCACGTATATACCCTCTTACATAATTGTCGGTGTGATTGTGGGAGTGGGTAAGTTATGTGCAAGCCATTAATTAATTTAAGTAGGCATTATTTTGCAAATTCAAGATGTTATTGCACCCTGTACAAGCTCTCTCCTACATGCTAGAATTATCTCTCTAGTAGTAGCGCTGGTTCTTCGTCAAGGGTTTGCACTTGTAAGCTTCCAAGTATATACTGAAATTGTGGCACACGTTGAAGTGATGCACTCTGTATTCTGCCTTACAGCTTTCCCCTGTAAGGCATGTTGTTTTAACACATAAATGTATTGGCACTTGGGCATAGAATGACGCTGATGATGTCTGGTATGTAAGGTTCGTTCCAGCGTCATGCTAACGCAATGGCAGAGTAATTAAATTTGTGCTGTTAAAGGACTGGGGTTTACGCAGCAGCAGCAGCATGTAGACTCATAGGAGGAGAACTTTTATGCCTTAGTGCCCATGCACAACGCAGGAATGTGGTAGCCGGTTAGTCACTTACCTGCATACTGGTGATATATAATTTCAAGTTAGGGCTTAGTTCTAAAGCATTGGTGTGATTTTATCTTGAAATCTTTGCGAGTAAGGTTGGATATGTATTTACAATGAAGATCAACCATAGTAAAAATAGTAAGTAGTAGCCCTTATGATCTGAGTAGTTTTTACAGCACACTAGGGTTCATAAGCAACTCTTCTTCAACGACGGCTGTGCATTGTACATTTTGATGAACTTGAACCTTCCAAAGTATAAAGTCATTGGCTGCCGGTAGCCCGACAATGTACAGCAGTTGACTGGTCTCCATATAGTCCTACTCGGTCTTGTGTGGTATGGTCTAGGGAGTAGACTATGCAAAGACCCAGACTTGCGTTGTCCAAATGGGTCTTGCAAAATTTAGTCAGTGTTTGCATACAGTAGGTCCAGTCCGCACAATACCCTGTAAGACTACATGGAGACCAGTCATAACATAGATATAATTATACACAGGCCTAACAGGTTTTCTTTTCCTTTCAGATGAATACGGTCTACCAAGTAAGTATATTGACGTTGTTGACAAACTAAAACAATCAAGAAAGAAGGGTGGAAAAAGATAGTGTCCATATTTTACGATGAACAATTTGCTGTGGTTTTGTAATACCTTTTTCTGCTGTGTATGCAAATATCCAATGGCAATCATATTTTAATGAGCAATACAAACCAACCTAGGATAACATTCTATTTTGCACACATCTTAGTGCGTATAATTCACAATCAAACAAATATGGTGTAAGCAGCGCAGTTTGTCTGTTTATGTATGTTCAACTAACTCATTTCGTTATTCGAAAGAATCTGTTAATGAGCCAGCCAACCGAAGAAGTCTTCCCCCACATGTAGGTCATTGATGCCTACCTAAAACTAAAATGAGCAGACTATCATGACATCGGTAGATGAAGTCTCACGTGCCCTGCATGCAAAGTCACTCCATACAGGCCCTTCAAGGCATTCCATTTTTTTCCTTGCAGTCTCTGTCTATTGATACATATGCCCAGCTGTTCACAGCTCGCCCTGAAATTGTCGCACGAGAATTTGCACATATGAGATTTCAAATTTTTCGTCATATTCATCGTGATATGACTTTCAAATAAAAGTTATGTAGTAACGGCAAAATATTTATAGTGTCTACAAGCCAGGCCAGGGGTTGAGCCATTCCACTCCATCAGAAGGGCAACAGACCTCCATTTCCAAGTGTAAACATTTACTCCGACACAGAGGTATCATCCTTTCAGAAAAGCTAAGTGTGCAGCAGATGGTGAAGATTATTGCTAGTTTTTTCACATGCCTGATGAAAATAACATGGAAACAAGTTACTTCCATGCTCACCTCCAGTATATTAATACGTATAACCCTGACCATAACTCAACAATTATATAGTATGTGGCATTTAACTCTTGTATAATACATTACTGCTATATATCTGTCTCTCTTGTACTTGTAGAGGTAGGCTTGTTTTGTGGTTCTATAAAGTTATGTCTCTCTGACTGAAGTTGATAGAGGCCTTGAGTACATTGGTTATGTCTCCAAATGTATCTATATGTTGTAAACTCAAAAATGCAGGCAATGCCGCCTGAAGCAACATGAAGCCTGAACAAGGATTGCCTCCTCCCTGGTGATTGCTGTGGAAAGAAGCAACACATATTACTTAGTCACTAAAAGTGGTACAGTGTCGTACAAGGCTGTGTGATGATTGCATGGGAGCTGACTTTCTTGCTACCCATTCCTGCACTTTATGAATGACGTCATATGTCTGTTCCAGGGGTTCAAATCTAAAAAAGCAAGAACCAGTTTTAAACAAAGTTATTATAACGTCTTATACAATAATGCTGGCGACTAACCAAATCATTGTGTTTGTCCCTTACAACAATGCTGTCACAGTTAAAAGTGTGTATTAAGCGAGATAGCTCAAAAGTTATACCTAATGGACTGCTGAAATTAACTAGTTCAAACTGCTGTTGCAAATTAATTAGTTTACCTGACCTAGATTTTGGAGGCTGATAGCTGCCAAAAATATGGGACACATTGCGGCTCCAAATTTGGAGTGGTCTCACAACCAGCAGCACAGCATCCTTACAAAGAAAGCCACTTATTGCTTCGAGCAAGTGGTCAACTGCAAAATGTTATGAAAGGAGTTTTTTTTGTTAAAAGGTAACCATAGTACCTGTTGTCATTTGCAAGTTATCACATTCTGGAATTGGTCCTACAACAATGAATCCAGTTTGAGTAGAATTATCTGAACCTGGTTGCACCCATATTTTCCTTAAGAAGTCCATGAACTATTAAAAACTTAAATTAATAATTGCTGTATTATTAGTGATGCCTCTTGCCTCATCATTAGTAGTACTTTCCAGTGCAAGAATATCTTCAGGGAAGGTTAAAACTTCGGTGTGCTTGAGCAAACAGTGAGCTTTATTGTCGAATTTACAATCAGCAGTAAATTGGAGAGCAGTTACCTGAGTGTTTTAGAAAGCAAACCATCATTAATGATCCGATTTTATGTTTCTAAGTAACGCTCCTTCACATTGGAATGAACATGTTTGCAAACAAGGTTCTTGTGCACAGAGTGAGCTTTATTGCAATCAGCAGTAAATCGGAGAGCAATTTCCTGGGTGTTTGCATTAATGATCCGATGGTGTGTTTCTAAGTAACACTACTTCACATTGGAATGAACATGTTTGCAAACAAGGTAGTTTTGTACTACAACACCTAGTCACTCATAGATCTTCAAAATATGTAT